GGTGGTGCCATCCCTGGATTAGTGGTCTTATGTTCTATAAGAAAGCAGGTTGATCAACCTGTGAGGAGCAATCAAGTAAGGCACATCCCTCTATGGCCTCTCCATCAGCCTCCAAGTTCCTACTGTGATTGAGTTCCTGCCCTCACTGCTTATGATAATGATCTGTTATGTGGAAATGAGGAAAATAAACCCTCAAGAGATAAACCATCAAGAGATGCTTTTGGTTATGGTGTTTCAGCACAGCCATAGAAAATCCAACTAAGACAAGCCTAAACATGCTTTAGTATTTTGTACTAGTTACTTAGGTGAAATGTGTTATCATTAATAATTACCAAATCAAATTATTAGTCAACTAAGAGAGTGTGCAGATACTTAGAATTTTAATGTACCAAATATTCAGCAAAGATTAATTCTTTATGTAAAGCTGAATGAGAACATCTATCTCATTTGTATGCAAATTGCCTTTATTTTTAATAAATGGGAAAAATAAACTGAAAAATTATCACCAAGGTAATATATAAAATGCACTATTTCTTTCATGGTGAACATATTTTTACTACCTATTACTTTGTGCACTCATTTAAATTTATTTATAATTTATTGTCACTAATTGCTTGATTTGTGTCAAGTGAAGAAAAGATACAGAATATCCAGTAACATTATTATATAAAAATATTATTATCATATAAGGCTTCATATTGTATTTATTTTATGCAGAACTAAAGAACAAAGACAAGTATTAACCTACCATAGACTCAATTCTCTCACTCAAGTTCCTGTATTCATGTGTAGCTGGTGAACTCAAAGCTTCAGTGTATTCAACATTTCTGATATGAAAATTACTATGGTAAAAGTAAGTTTTCTTGTCTGGAAAGAAAGTAAAGCATTATTACTCTAATGTTACTAAGCATATTAAATTTTATTTTGTATATCATTATAAGAAGTTACACAATTAAAATGGTATTCCTTAAAAGAAAAAAAATTCATGTATAATATAAATATAACACAATTGTTTTCCTTTTGATTATCAAAAGATTGACAAAGCTAAGATTGTTAGACAAAACAACACAGATGAACATTATTGATCTCTTCAAAGTTGTACAAAAATATAATTTTTTTAGTACGTCTAAATAATTGATTTATTCATTCAGTAAGCATTAATAGATATGTATAATATGTGTCTGTTCATTTGTTAGTAAGAAACAATTCAAGCAATTGAATGGCTTGTATATTTAAAAAGCCAAAGCACCCCCCAAAAAAAGAACAACCAAACAAAAAAATTAAAATGATCATCATGAAGAAATATGTAATTATATGAATATATATTTAGAGATAAATTCTAAGCAATATTACCTCATAATCAGAAATAGATACAGCAATAAAAGGGAAGACTACAATTTTAATCTAAGAGTATATTTAATTATTTAATCTGAAAAATACTTACCAAAAGCTAAAAAGTGAATAAGTAGACCTACAATCATGGCCAGTAGTCCTACTGTTGTTATGACAATTAAAGCTACTACAAAGGGAGTGAAGAATCTTGAAGGCGATAATACTGGTCTTGGCCTGACAACAGGAATAAAAGAAAAGAAAGTCATTCAGTTCACTTGGAAATGTGTACTTTCAGTGTCTATGACTATGTCTTTCTGAATCTCTTAGCATGTCCATGGATCTAATCATAGATGCATAGTCCTAAGAATCAACATGAATCCCCCCCCCCCACACACTCCAGGATGTTCTTAATATTTTTCCTTTCAGACTGTTTTTATTTTTAATACAACTGGTAGAATAATAAAGCATCTGACCTATGGTATGAAATTGCTTTATTTTTTTTTCTGCCAGTCAGTGTACTTTTAGGTTTAGTTTTTGTTTTAGAGTATCTTATTATGCACTTCTGGCTGGCCTGGAACTGCCTGTAATAGATCAAGATGGCCTAAACTCGAAGAAATTCACCTGCTATTGATTCCTGAATGCTGGGATTAAACATATGTGACACAGTGCCCGGACAACAATTAGTATGCTCCTGAGATTGGCCTCTAAAGCTTCTGCCTTATTACAAGGCCTTCTAAGACCAAACTTGGAACTATCACAGCAAACCCTCTTAACCAGGGGCCACTATCGAGGTGTGATGAGGAGAGACCACACTGAATGTGAAGAAGACAAGAAAGAAGCCAGGGGTGGGATTCAGGATTAAAACAATAACTCCCTTCAAATGTTACCTCATATTATTACAGATGATAATGTGGGCACAGAAAGCAGCAAGAGCTGCAGTAGTTTTAAACCTTCCTAATACTGCAACCCTTTAATATAGCACCTCATGTTGTGATGACCCCCCACCATAAAATTATTTTTACTGCTACTTCACAATTGTAAATTTGCTACTGTTATGAATCTTAATGTAAAAATATGATATGCAGGATACCTGATATGCAACCCCTGTGAAAGGGTCATTCAACCTCAAAGGGGTTGTGACCTGCAGGTTGGAAAAACCATTGGATTAGAGCTTCTCCAATAAAGAGGAAGAGTGTGGCTTATTTTTTTTTTTGTTATGACTTCATAAACTGCAGTGCAGGCCAACCAATTTGTATTAATATACTATCTCATATTATGGTAGGTATGTTATTTACAACAATCCGATTCACTGTCTCCTTTCCACTAGTACAGGCACAGCAGTGGACACTCATAGGAAGGTCACCAGGGAAGCTCCTTGTTTGGGTGGCCATGATGTCATTTACCTGAAGAAATGGAAATACCAATGCCTATCTCATGAGGCTATTTGAAGATGAAATGAGGTTGTGTAAGCACAATAAAAATGTTTCTAGTTAAATAGGCTGCTTTGTGAATTCTTTTAGAATAGATGTTTTTCATGCTCATGTTTCTGACACTCTAGAGGTCAGGCATACTCAGAAGTTTTATAATATTTATGATAATTATAAATATTTATTGCACATGTAAATTCCTGGGTATGTTCCATATTTTAAAGCCTTAACAGGGTTCAGTTACATTTAGGCAGATTTTAATCTAACTTCCATTTTTTTTCTACTTGCTTTTGGACATTCCAAGGTGAGAAAGGAATAGTCTAAAGTAAATCATAGGTTCATGATTTTTCATGAACTTTTGTCATGAACTTTAAGTTCATGACAAGGTTGCCAAGCAGTGCTTGAATTATGTTCAGCTAGCAAATTAATAAATGGCACTCTTCCCTTTGGTGCAATAGAGTACAATATGGACCATGGATGTTGCCAGTGACAATTTAGAACACAGATGGAGGTGGATGTAAATTTGCTAACTTGAGATTTTGTTGACTAGATATATTATAAATTAAAAATAAGGCCATGGTTACATATATCATTTAATAAAAGTGCAGTTAAATACATATAGTAGGAAGAAAATTACCCAAGAATAATGCAATAAAAAGATAAAACACATAACTCTATCTTTCTGATCTCTTCTACTTCATCTCATTTATTTTGTTGTACTGGTGAAAACTAGCTTTCTGAGTTCAACAGTTGGAAGAAAACTGGAAATTTGGCATTTATTAAATCTTTGAGCATCAGTGGATTCATTTGTCACCTCAGTGAGTTGTTGTACCAGTTATATGCAATCACAGGACACAGGTTCTGGGGTTTGTGATCCCAGTAACTATTAGTATCTGCTAAGTGGTAGGCAATAGGAGTGGAAGCCAGGGTAAGCTCCAGTTTATAATGGATCAGTCTTCTCCAGAATAACTATGGGAAGATTGTACTTCAGTAAGTGAAATCTGGTATGGCATAAAAGGTAATCTAAAAAAGAGAAGCAAGCTGAAGGCCAATAAAACGTGAATGTTAAAAATCCATAGTGAGGGGAACAAGGACTATTTCTAACAGGAACTCAATGACTGGCTCTTTGGCCTCTCCACCCCCCAAGGGAGGAGCAGTCCTGTTAGGCCACAGAGGAGAGCTTTGCAGCCAGTCCTGAAGATACCTGATAAAACAGGATCAGATGAATGGGGAGGAGGTCCCCCCTATCAGTGGACTTGGAAAGGGGCACGGTGGAGATGAGAGAGGGAGGGAGGGACTGGGAGGGAATGAGGGATCGGGACACGGCTGGGATACAGAGTTAATAAAATGTAACTGATAAGAAAAAAAATAAAATTAAAAAAAATCAAATGTTGGGCATAGCAGAGTATTATTAGGTATAATTTTGTTGATTATTTTTTAGATCAGTAAATGGTTCTTTTGCCTTAGATCTCTGGGCTATCTAGTCTCTGGTTTGTGGTTACATAAGCAGTGTCTGGTGTGGAGTTGGCCTTAGTTCAAATCAGACTTTGGTTGACTACTCCCACATGTTCTGTGACACCTTTGCCTTAGCATCTTTTGTAGGTAGAACAGATAGTAGGTTAAAGGCTTTGTGGCTACCTTGGTGTCCGTGTTTTTCATTTGGAAGCCTGCAGAGTATCTTTGTTCACCAAAGAGTCTAGAACACAGGGACAGGGGCTCTAGTGCCTTAGTCAGTAATAAGAGAGACTTCCTCTAAAAGCAGATGGAAACAGATGCAGAGATCCACAGCAAGATACTATGCAAAGAGAGAGTCTAAATTGGAAGTCTCCATTAAATTCTTCTCCACAGAGTTCATGGAAACCCCTTGGGAGAGGAGGCAGAAAGATTGTTGGAGCCAGAGGATATGAAGGACACGAGGAAAACGAGGTCCTCTGAACCATCTAAGCAGGCTGTACATGAGCTCACAGAGACTGAAGCATCAAACACAGGGCTCACAGGGGTCTACACCAGATATATATGATATATACATATATAGTGTGTATATATTATAGCTATCAGCTTATTATTTGTATGGGATAGGAGTGGATCTCTGACTCTTGTGCCTGCTCTTGGGAAAATCCTCCTGTTGGGTTGCTGTGTCAACTTTGATATGATAGTTTTGGCTTCCACTTATATCTTATTTTGTCATGTTTGGTTGTTATCTCTTATAAGCTTGTTTCTCTTTCTGTTCGGGTTTGTTTCTAATAAGAGACAGAAAGGGAGTAGATCCTGAGGGGAGAGGAGGGGAGGACCTAGAGTAGAGGGAAGGGAAACTACAATCAGGACACATCCTATGAGAAGGGAAACTATTTTTCAACAAAATATGAAAAATAATACAGTAAATTTTCAAAACAAAATAAAACAAAAACAAAGGCTGGAGTCAGCACATGCTCTGGTTCAGATGAGCCTTGCCTCCCATTGGAATGACTTTGAGCCAACTTTGCCTTTAGTGCACTGAAAACATCTTAAACTGAGAGTCTAAGAACTATAAGACATATGACTCAAGAAACAAAGGGTGTGGAGCTTAAATTACCTTAATCTCTCAATTACCTAAGGATCAATTGTTCCACCCTGTAAAAGAGGTGAGGCAGTATCTCCCGTGTAATTCAGAGGTGAATCTCTGAACGCTTCTGTTTATAAAGCTTATGATAATTCCAGCTGAACTGGAAACTTTGTAAAACTGTAGAAATTTTTCCAATGTTTGCAAACATGTGTTCAAGTTTTGACTTACAATGCCATTGAAGTCAATGTAAGGAAATAGGTTGCTTTAAATTCAGAATCTTGACCAGAAAGATTTTCAGTGTTTGCATTTAAAACAAATATTTAGTTGTAATATGGCTATCCATCTCTCTCTCTTCTCTTTAGCAACCTTTTTAATAGCCTTATTCTAAAAGCCTCTTGCAAGTTTACAAATGTGGGCTGCTAACTTCCACAATGGCCTTGTGAACTCTCTAATTGAGTCCATTCTGTCTTACACATAGTATATGTGTATTTTATTGCATAGGAAGTATGTGATACCAGAATTGAGTTAATTTTAATTTGAAAATATATCTTAACATATTTATATGGGAACATTAATTTCTGCCATTGGTACATAGATATACCTAATGTTTAGCTATGGGTTAATAGAGAAATTTGATAATTTCACATTATTTTCAAGAATGAAAGACCTTAGTGGCAAGGTACTTGTTAAATCAGATGTATATAGTATTGAAAATACTGAACTTCTTGACAATTTTATGTCCATTTTAGTTGTTAGTTATGACGTTAACACTGATTTGGGTCACAGTCCTTTTCTGATATGTAATCTTTTCAGATGATCTCACACCATGTCATAATTTCAGAAAGCAGCCAGTAGAATATTTCTAGGATACCCCGTTAGCCTGTAGCTCTGTGTATTCTGCACCATTGTTTCCAGTTGTTCATTGAGTAGCTTATGGACATTCTACAACCACCTAAATGGACAGTTTGTAGCCCCTTATTCCAGGACACATTATTTATTGTGTTCGTGAACATTACTACCTACATTAGGCACTTAGGAGTTAACGTCACTTGGTCCCTCATAATTATGTCTCAAATACAGGGTCACCAATCAATCCTTATTCTACTACCTAAGTTTTTTTTTTCCTTTAATCTCTCTGTTTCTTAACTCTGATTTGATAATTGCTTCATTAGTGATACTTTAAATTCTTTTCAACTGTTCTCCTTGATTTTATAACTAATCAAATATTTAATTCAAAAGAGTTGGTGAAAGTCTGTGAAGTTCTTGTGATTGTTTTAGGTGCTGGGGTCCCAGTAAA